AGTGTGTTTCTCTCCTGATGGAACTACATTGACATTTGGTAGTTCTTATGCATTTATCTATTTTTGGGATGTTAAGACAAAAAAGTTTAAAGCCAAATTGGAGGGTCATAGTCATTGTGTCAACTCAGTATGTTTCTCTCCTGATGGAAAAATATTGGCATCTGGTAGTAATGATAAGTCTATCCGTTTATGGGATGTTAAGACAGGATAATAATAAGCAAAATTAGAAAGTAATTGCTAAGTTCAATCAGTTTGTTTCTCCCCTGATGATACTACAATAGCTTCTGGTAATAGGGATAATACTATCCGTTTATGGGATGCTTAGACAGGATAATAAAAAGCCAAATTAGATGGTCATGTTGGATAATTAGTGTGTTTCTCTCCTGATGGAACTACATTAGCATTTGGTAGTCATGATAACTCTATCTGTTTATGGAATTTTAAGACTGGATAATAATAAGCTAAATTAGAGGGTCATAGAAATAGCGTCACATCAGCAAGCTTCTCATCAGATGGTAATACATTAGCATCTGGCAGTAGTGATAATTCTATCCGTTTATGGAATGTTAATACAGGATAATAAAAAGCCAAATTGAATAACCATAATTATTGTGTAAACTCAGTGTGCTTCTCTTCCGATGGAAAGACATTGGCATCTGGTAGTAATGATAAGTCTATCTGTTTATGGGATGTTAAGACAGAATAATAATAAGCAAAATTAAAGGGCCATAGATATGCTGTCTCATCAGTATGCTTCTCACCAGATGGTAATACATTAGCATCAGGTAGTGATGATAGTTCTATCCGTTTATGGAATGTTAAAACTGGATAATAAAAAGCTAAATTAGATGGTCATAATAGTATCGTCTTTTCAATATGCTTTTCACCAGATGGAATTACTTTAGCATCAGGTAGTTATGATAAGTCTATTCTTTTATGGAATGTTAGGACTGGATAATTAAAAGCCATATTTGATGGCCATTAGAATAGTGTCTATTCAATATGCTTTTCACCAGATGGAATTACTTTAGCATCTGGTAGTTCTGATAATTCTATCCGTTTATGGAATGTTGAAACTGGATAATAAAAAGCTAAATTAGATGGTCATAATAGTATCGTCTTTTCAGTATGCTATTTACAAGATGGAACTACTTTAGCATCTGGTAGTAATGATAAGTCTATACGTTTATGGGATGTTAGGACTGGATAATAAAAAGCCATATTTGATGATCATAGTAAAGGTGTCAAATCAGTATGCTTGTCACCAGATGGTAATACATTAGCATCTGGTAGTTCTGATAAGTCTATCCGTTTATGGAATGTTAAAACTGGATAATAAAAAGCTAAATTAGATGGTCATAATAGTATCGTCTTTTCAATATGCTTTTCACCAGATGAAATTACTTTAGCATCTGGTAGTATGGATAAGTCTATCCGTTTATGGGATATTAAGACTGGACAATAGAAAGCTATATTAAATGGCCATGAATATTCTGTCCTATCAGTATGCTTTTCACCAAGTGGATTTACTTTAGCATCTGGTAGCGAGGATAATTCAATACGTTTATGGGATGTTAAGACTGAATAATAAATTTAACCTTATGATAAATAATACAAAGATCCTCTTGCATAATTTAAAATATCAGAAAGTATTATTTACCAATAAATTATTAGGAAGCTCTAACATAACGCTTCTACTTATATCGAAATCTGCTATATTTTAAGCTTAAGGAGCTCAGATTTTTAAAGGACTATTTGAGAACTAATCTGGTATCAATTTAAAAACATTATTAAAGTAAAAAGGAAGTTGCTTTTTGGACAATTAGTTATAGAAATGATTATTTATCAATAATTTTCTCATTCTTTTATTACAATTATTCTTCTTACATTTTATTAATCATCTATTTAATAATTGCATTGTCGTTTTTATATTTTAAAAAGATGTTAAAATCGAAAAGCAAATATTTCTTCCTTAAATTTTTATTAATTATTTTCATTTCTTAGTACTTAAATTTAATATTTTCAAAGTATAAAAGTGATGCTAAATTTAAAATTAATTGCATAAATCATAATTTTAGAAAGAGGTCCAATAATATAAATATAGATCAGTTAAAAACTAAAACATTACAGAATTGGAATTAAACAAATCTATTATTATATTTTTAGGTGAAACCAATTATTAAGAAGAAATCACAAAAGATTAAATGCTAAATCTGCATTTGCCAAAATTGTAATCCATAGAATTAATTTAATCTGCTTTAGTAACTTTATTTTTATTAGCATATTTCAAAGAGCTCTGAATATATGAATTCATTGAAGTATTATTATTATTGATATAAGAAGTTAGAGTCTTATAATTTAATTTCTTATTAGCTTTCAAAATTAGTTGACTTAGAGGATACATACAACTTTATAAAATTAATAGATATGATCCTTGTCATTCTTCTTCTCTATTTAACATCATTTAAATGAAGATATATTTATTAAAAAATATTGTTATAAAAAACTTCTGATGATATTAGTTACTTAGACTTTAATATATAGAAGTTAAATGCTGCCAAGATATTCCTTTTAGTAGTTATTTACAGAATACAATGAAAAGCGATTATATAAACTAATTAAAATTTATTATACTACCGAAATACATGAAGAGAATTCTTCAAATGTATTATAATTGTTAAATTTCTTTCTTGTTTTTTTGTGGATTTATGCTTGTATATTTGAACTAGAAAGTCATATAATGTACTATGACTTTGATAAATAGTATTTAACTTATTTTGCTGATTTCATTATTTTGAGAGTTACCCTTATTATTTAGACCATTAAAACAATAAGGAATCTGATTCTTAGTACAAATTTGAAAAGCAAGACTTCTTAAAGATATATTATTACTCTAATCAATATCATTTGGCATATAAATCTGGTTGGCATATTCTCCCTAAAGTTTAGCTTATTATTATTTTCTTTATGATAAATAATTGGGGAATGAAGAATTTTTGGAAATATATTCAACTGATCTTTGCTAAAAATATATAATTGCGGATAGATAAGGCCTAGAAAGATCTACTATTGCTGCAGCCAATATCATATTATTTATGTTAAACAAAAAATGAATCAAAATATAGAATTAAAAAATCAAATTGGATTAAAGTTAAATCTCATTATTCGAAGGAGCAGATTATTCAGTATTAAGCTAAATACTCATTTAATATTGGGAAATTCTGTCATAAAAACATGCCACTATTATAATATTAGAATCTGTTTGAGCTTGTAAATTTTGCAATAAAATTACAGAATCCATAAAAGCTCATTTAAGCCAAGGTATAAATAAATTTAGTTATCAAATCCAAAATTTTATTGCTGTCATTTTTGATTTTCTTTAAATCATATAGCCACATTTATGGTTTCTATTGTAAATTCATTTTTGTCAATAATTCAAAAGATCCTTTGAATTTTTTTAATTTTAGGTTTTGATTTTAATAATAACTATATAATTTTTGCTAGATTAACTTAAATAAGGCCAACAACAATTTTCTAAATTTTTATTATGAGTTACAGGTATATTATTGTAAATTTTAAATCCAAATTTTTGCTAGTAAACTTCGGGGAATTTAATTGAAACTTAAAAAAGTAGAGTCACATTGTTCGACTTTATCTTCGCTATTGTGTATATTCTATGCTCATTTTATATTGACCATATTTAAGTGAGTTAATTAAAATTAATTTAATAGTTTTCATTCAAAACATAATCTTTCCTAACTTCTGAAAAAATTATGAGAGCTTACTAAAATTTAATATAAAATTAACCTTTTTTTGAAAAAGCAGAATTAATGTATATATAGTGATAAACTTTTAAAGATGATATAAAGGAATGATTAGATCTAGATTATTTCCATTTTTAGTAATGCCAATCACTTTTGGTCTATCTTTTGTTTTCAGAATTACTCCAAAAATAAAAATGAAAGACCCTTAATTGAAAGAGCGAATGTAGTAAAAAAAAGAAGTTTTATTCTTCATTTAATTCAGCAGAGTCACCGATTTTTATAAGTGAAATCCTCTTTTGAGGATGATCATAATTCATAAGCGTTGGAAGGCTATTTAATTTTGAAAAAGTAACTTATAAGTCTTAAAGAAATTAAAATGGTAGCTCATTTATTGGTATTTAAATTTATCAATAAGTTATTAGAGAAGTTATTATCAGCAGTAGATATTAAATTCATTATACAAGAAGAGCAATTGGGTATTTTTTCTATTACAGCAATTAATTTTTAAAAATTTTACAATTATTTTCATATTATCATTCTCTAAAATGTTGATATTGAAGTTCAATCCCTTTGAGATATAATTTCTTCTAATTAACCAAAACGTTTAGAAAACTTTTTAATATTATATCACTTAAATTCTTCTAAGAATATATATATTTTTCATGTGTATTCAATCCAGCTTTTAAATTGAGGATCTTTTAATCGCCATTATATAAAATTTCAACACTTAATGATGTAGTAATTGATAATTAAGAATTTTTTAACAAACATTATCCTAAAAAAAAGTCAAAGATATATCCAGCAATTGGAGTTGACATGCTTTACAATCTGTTAAAACACATACGATTATCTTTAATATTTTTATCATAGGTTGTGGATAAAAAAAACTTTTAAAATATTTATATCAAATTCTAGCAGATAGAATTTAAAATTTTATAATTAGACTTATAAATCTACCTCTTCATAAAAAATTAAATCTTGGTCATCAAATAAAAATGAAGAATAGTTAAAGGGGTACTCAAGGCTGAGAAAAAGTTCTATATTCAAGTTTAAAAGGAATTCAAATGTCTTTAGGTTATCATGATGATCTTTTGCAGCCTTTAGAAAAAAATTTGTTGTTTTTTTGTCTCTCGCTTAAACATTCTTTTTATTCTAAAGGATAAGCAAAAAGAGATTCTTTTATAAGTTCTTTAAATTCAGAGCAGATTGAGTTTATGAAAATCAACATATCGGATCAAATAAATACTTAAGATTCTGTTGCTGAAGGAATCAATAAAATACAACTAATCAGAAATTTTGCTTAATGGAAATAAATGGTGAAAATAAAAAAAGAATAAATTCCTTTAGTTTCTTCTAAAATACTTACTAACATTCAAAAAATTAAAGTTTAGTGGAACTTCCTATGATGTTAAAAATAATTTTATTAAAATTATTGAAATTAGGTAACATTAAAGCTTATTAAGGTTTTATTGGCGCTTTAAAAAAATGATAATATTGCATTAACTTGTAATAATAAGCTGAAAACAATATATAATGATTTAACTAATGCGATCAATTTTGAAAATGATTCATCATATAGAAAATTTAAAAACTAACACTCAGGTGTTTGCTAAAAAGAAGATACAAAAAGTTAAAAATTGTCATACTCACTTTATGAAATTCAAAAAATTGAAATGCCATCTGTAATATCATTTCTACATTAGTTAACTTTTTTAATTTTCTATTAGGAAGGATTATATGATATTTGTGATAAAAAACATGGAGGTGATTTTATGGTTGAAGAATTATGACTTCAGGTGATAGCGATATTTTTATCGACACCTCACTAGATATGAAGGTCAAAACTTGAATTTTGACAACTCCAAATTCAAGTTGTGACCTCTATATGATTAAAATTAATTAAGAGTGCTTAATCAAAATATTTTAAAGTATCATTGAATGTTTTAAGCAATCTTAAAGATTGTCCTAATAAATAAAAATTAATATATTTCACATAGCTACTTAATAAGAAAACTTTATAATAGTAATAATTGTGTTATGTAATAAATTCAATAACTATTTTTAACTAAATTGTAATAATTTTTTTTGAATTATTAAAGTCATATATTAAAAATAATTCAAATATTTCATTCTTATTTAAATAATATACAGAAAATTATTATAGTATGGTTTGTGTATTTTGCATTTAAATTTTAATGATTCTTAATAAAATATTCAAAATTTTTTATTCATTTTGAATATTTTAAATGGGAATTACATGTTCAAATAATCAAATTATTATTATAAATGAAATCGAAAAGTAAAGCATTTTAATAATAATTGACTAGTACACAAAAACCTGAGCCTCGATTTTGCAATAATAATTAATAAAATACTCCCTTAGAATTTTAATGCTATGCTTGGAACAGAAAACAATAAAAGTTGATACAGAAAAAGTTCACAGTACATTTTACTTAAGAAAATTAAATTAAGTACCTTATTGACGGTTATTTTCTAAGAATGTAATTAATTCATCTAATAAACATAATAGAGAATAAATATATGATTTTACTGAGAGGCCTGAAGTGTTGACTAATTTTTATTGTATAAAATATCTAGAATGGGATGGAAAATATGGAGAGAATCTTAAAAAGAATGGAAAATGGACTGTAAATTGTAAGGGAAAAAATCTAATAACACTTGGTGGTTATTACTCTACAGAGGGATTAAAACAAGGCTTGTGGACAGAAATAATAAAAAATTATTCTGAGTATGTAATTATAATTGATATAAAATAGATAAGCTCAAATTTATGAAGTTGGTGAATATTTTAATAATTTGAGAATTGGGAAATGGACTTTTGTCGATGAAAATAAGTAAATGTATAAATTTCTTTAATTATTTTTAGCGGTTGTGGTAGATACAATGAGTATGGTTAAAAGATTGGAAAATGGATAAATTTGGATGAGAGATACTCTAAGTATTTTAATGACTTAAAAAATAGAATAAATTAAGTCTTACATGTTGGTGAATATAAAAATGGGAAAAAAGTTGGCAGATGGGATATTTTTTTTAGGAAAGATATTGATTAATCATTTCTTTAAATGTAATGTTTTTTTATAAGATTATTTTAGAGGTGGTGGATTATATCATTATAATAATCAAGAAAGTTCAATAAAAGTTGGAAATTGGATTGAGTTGAGTGAATCTTACTATTGTTATTCTTAAATTACTTATAATGGATTGTATAAAAATAATATCAAGATTAGTTAATGGGATACGTATAATTCTTAAAAGAAAATGTATTAATATAACTTTTAAATAAAAATAGTGGAGGAGGATCATATACTGAATAAGCAGAAGGAAGCTCTTTTAAGGTGGGGAATTGGATTGAGATTGATGAATGTTATAAAAACAAGTTGTTAGTGATTTATCCTTATCATGGTTATTATTAAAATGGTTAAAAGGTAGGTAGATGGGAGATTATAGATTCAAGATATGAAAGAGATATAAATCGGTATTTAAAATTAAAAAATTTAGTGGAGGAGGATCATATTAGATTATTGAAGGAATGGGTTCGATTAAAACTGGAAGATGGGTTGAATTGCTTTAGGTAGATTCGGACTATTAGGAATTCACTTGTGAGGGTGAATATAAAAATGGGTATAAAGTAGGTAGATGGGATATATTTCTACAAAATAACTTAATGTAATGGTTTAAATATGAAAATTTAGTGGAGGAGGATAATATCTTGAGGTTGAAAGTATTAGATCCGTTAAGACTGGAAAGTGGATTGAATTGCATGATGATAGTAGAAGTTATGATATAATCACTTATGATGGTGAATATAAAGAAGGGATAAAAGTAGGAAAATGGGATATTATATTTAACAGAGAATTAATGTAATAAATACACATAAAAAATGTTAGTGGGGGAGGTTTATATGATTAAGTAGATGGAATAAGTTCACTTAAGAATGGAAAATGGATAGAATGGAAAAAAAATTATTCTTGTGTTACTTATAATGGTGAATATCAAAAAGGTATAAAGGTTGGTTTGTTGTAACTTCTAAAAAAATAAAATAATAAATTTTCGCTTATGTATTAAATTAATATTATTATCATTTTAAGAGGTTGTGCTAATTATGATTCTAAAGGTATCAAGATATATAAATAAGACATGTATAAGTATTATTATTAATAGAAATTCTAATATAATAAATATGGGAGAATTTATAAATAGAATAAAAATTGGTAGATGGAATACTTTTTATAAGCAATATTAACATAATGATTTATAATTAATGTAAAAATTTATTATAAAAAAATTTATTTAGTGGTGGAGGATCATATAATCAAATGGAAGGAATATAATCAATTAAAATTGGAAATTGGGTAGAACTATGGGATGGATTTTATAGTGAATCCTAAGTTATATTAAGTGGCTAATATGAAAATGGTAAAAAAGTCGATAGATGGAACATTTTATATAGGCCTGATGAGGACCAAAAATTTTAAATGATGTATGTATTATAAAACTTATTTTAAGTGGTGGCGGATAGTACAAAAATTAGATAAAAAAAAGTTCTTCGGTAAAAATTGGAGAGTGGATTGAATTAAGTGATGTATTTTATAATGGAGCTTAAGTCATTTATCATGGTTGTTATAAAAATGGTAACAAGGTTGGTAAATGGAATAGTTTGTATAGAAAAGATTGCTAGGAAGCATTTGAATTGATGTAATTATAGTAAAAATCAAATTCTTAGTGGTGGAGGGCTCTATAAGGATGAAAAAAATTCATCATTTAAGATTGGCAATTGGATTGAGTTGAGTTCTGGATTTTATTGTTTATCTTAAGTAACTTATGTAGGAAATTATATAAATGGGAAAAAAGTAGGAAGATGGGAGATTTGGTTTAGAGATCGGGAAACAAAAGTGAATGAATAGATGTAACATATTAAATTTATAATCTTAGTGGCGGAGGTTTTTATCTTGATTAGGGAAGTTCATCCATTAAAACTGGCAATTGGATCGAACTGAGTGATGAATTTTATTGTTTGTCTTAAGTAACTTATGCAGGAGATTATAAAAATGGGATAAAAGTAGGCAGATGGGATATTTGGTTTAGACATTAAGAAACAAAAAAGAATGAATAGATGTACTTTTTCAATCTATAATTTTAGTGGTAGAGAATTTTACAATGATTAAGTAAAAGATGATTCTAGAAAGAATGGGATTTGGACTCAATTAATTTCAAATTTTGGGAATGGAACTGGATTAAAATAAATCATCTATAATGGTGCATATAAAAATGATAAAAAAGTAGGTATTTGGGAGGAAAGAGAAAGAAATAAATATTAAATGGATTAAGGTTTTATTAAAATAAAAGAAATCATTTATGATTATTGAGTAATAATATGCAACAATTTATAAATGTTATTGTCATAAGAGTGAATTATATTATTATAGTTTATTAGTTTTTCTTAAATGTCGATATATAATAATAGAACTATTATCAGGTATCTATTATTTTTTCAATTTTATCTTAATTAAATTAAATAATTAAAATTAATTTGTTAGCCGACATATAAATTTTATTATGTTTACAATTTTTTTCCCAAACTTTTTTAATTACAAATTTATGATAGAAGTATTACCAACTATGAATATATTTATATAACTTTTAAATAATTAATTGGTTAAGTTTTCATTTTCAAATAATTGATAATTATTAATTATTTATCAAAAAGAATTCTAAGAGTTTTATTAAACTACTTTGAAATTTCAAAATTATAAATCCTATATATTTAATTTCCTAAAATTAAGATTGTTAGCATATTGAATATTTTTTTTTCTCTTATTAATGGGTGTGTCTATAGAGGAAATCAGTAATTTCTTTTATTTTCTCTGATTTTGAAAAGTTATAATAATTTTTAAAAATAAATTTGATATTACCGACAATCAATAATCTTACTAAACCGCTTGTTCAAAAACATCAATATTTATGAATTTAATATTCAGACTTAGTGTTGAGAGAAATATATTAAATGAAATTTCATGAAAATAAAACAATTTCTAACTGTTAAATCATTTTTCACAATTTTTTTAGTTGAAAAATTATAATCACAAAATAATAAACTTATAATAATTATTTATATTTATGATGAAACAATTTAGGAATACTTCAGATGCAACAATACTCTTGGTAATAAATCCAGGAAGTGATATTGCTTTTTGAAAATAACTTTCTGCTATTAATCTAATTTAAGAAATAACTCTAGTTTCATCAAGTTCTATCAATTTGTCTCTTACAGCTACAACATCTCCTTAGAATGAGTATATTCTAAATTTTTTAGAAAAGGAAAATTTTAAAATGTTAGCATCTGAGCATTAAATTTAATAGTAAAGCTTTCGGTATTTTATATTTTAAATATAGGATAACAATTTTAGTGTAGTTTAATATCCAGATTAACTGAAACATTTTAGCTCTTTATTTTAAGAGGTGAATTTATACAATAAAGCAAGAATATCAATAAATATAAGAACTAATTTTATTATAAAAGAAAAGCAAATCACAATTATAATTATAAAGAGAGATAAACAAAATATAAATGATAGAAGCATTAAATTATAAAATATGATAACTTCTGAAGACAGTTAAGAAGAATATTATTTATAGTAATTGATTTTTAATTTAGATTTGACCATCATCTCAAAACTTAAACTTTTGATATAAATGCAGAAGTCAAAAAAATGTTAAAACTTAACAAAATAATGAAATATCAGTTTTGATGATTCGAGAATTATATTTGTGTGCAATTCATTACAACTTACTATTATTAATCTTATTATTTAAATGGTAATAAGATTTTAATGATTTGTTTGTTAAAGGTACTCTTATTTAAAATGATGAAGAAAATATAAATATAAATTGAAATTTGAATTTAATGATATTTTTTTCTTTCAATAACCATTTTTTAATTAATCTTAAATCTTTTGTATTAATATTCTTAAAAAAGATTTGCCTTAAAACAGTTTCATTAATGAATTGGGATATGATATCTAAATTCCTCCTCTTTTTTGAATTCTTTAAAATCTCTATTTTTTGATATAATATAATCATACTATATTTTAATATAATATTTCAAAGATTTTTATAACCCCATCACCTTCCATAATTGGTGAGCTATCCCAAATTACAACAAATCTTCCATTTTTAGAAAGGCCTCCATTATTTTAATGACTTTAGCATTATATAGTATCCCCTTTAATTAACATTCCATTACCTTAATTAATAAAAATATTCACAAATTTATTTTATTTTTATATAAGTATTTTTTTCTCGATATTATAAACAGATGGAAAAAGTAGCCAAGGATCCTCTAAATCCTAAACATACATTCTCATTTCAATATTTTCTTAGAATTCTCCATCCTATTTTTATTAATAAAGTCTTAAAAAACCTTCTATGTTCAATTAAAATATAAAAGAGTCATCATCAAGAAATGATATTCTAAAAGCATAATAATTATGTTTTATTTATTAGAACTATTCCCAAATATTATTTCGTTTTTTCCAAACAATTACTGATTAATCTTAACTACAAGATATTAAGCAATTTTCAGTTGAACTTAAACTTATCCCATATATTATATCTTTATGATTTGTAAGTTCTTACTTTAATTTCCATAGATTATCAATAGTTTGATAATTCCAAATAATTATCTTTTTATCTTAACTGCATGAAATTAATTCACTGTCATTTTAATTAAGTAATAACTATGGAACAAAACCTTAATGAGAATCTAATATCTATGATATTTTCCATTTATCAATTGATTTAATCCAAATAATTATTTTTTTGTCCTTCCAACTGCCTCCTGATACAAATAGATTTTAATTCAAACTGAATGTTAAAGATATTACATCATCAACATGACCAATTAATGTTTAATCTTCTTTGATTCTTCCATTATTAAAATTCCATACTTTTATGTTGAAGTTACAACCTGCTAACATTATTGTATCATCTCTATTGAATGTAATTACTCTACAAACTTCATATTATTTTACGTTGTTTATGTTTTTAATTTCTTTAAATCTAAATTTTTATGTATTTTTTAAATATAATTCTTTAAAATTAACAATTTTTTCCCTGAATTATTGCTATTACTTCATAATATTCACAACAGATTTTTCTTATTCTGTTCTTATTTATTTAGCAAGATCATTTAATTGTTTCAATTTTTAATAAAGTTCCATATCTGATTTAGATCTTTTAAGAATTGAACTGCTTTCACTTATTAATTAAGCCATTTCTTATAAAATTGACAAAGTAACTTTTTCATCATAATTTTGCAATGTTTTTATTTTGTTATTTTTATCATAATTAATTCCATTAATTAACTAATTAGTCTAGTTTATTAAATGTTCAATATTTTAAATAAATTATTTTTTAATTTAAGTCATCTGCTCTTAAAATATTTTGAGAGGAATGAGGTAACCTTAATATTCATTTTCTAATAGTTAAATTTCATTTTATTTTTTTTTCATCCATTCTTATAAAGCTTATTCAATATAAGTTGGATTAAATAATTAACATTTACAACATTTAGCTCTTTCTCCTTTTAATATTTTTTATCTTAAATCTAAAAATTGTATTTTTTCAAGATGTTCATGACATTATATATCTGATATTTATTACATCAAATTAATCAACATAAATGATATTATTATTAATAAATTATTTGAAGACAATTTCATAATTATCAATTCTCAGTTCTCAATTGATATATTAAAATATACATTATAACTAAATTAAATATTGTTGAATCTTTATCATTCAGCGATATTATACATAAATAAATCATTGATTAAATCAAATATCATTGATAAACTTTAGATCTATTTGGCAAAAATAAGTACTTTAGTCTTTTTCCAGATGTGAGATCAGAATATTTAAACTATAGCTGCATAACTTAATTAAAATAAATTTAGTTTAGTAATCAATTTACTAAATTGAATCATCTTTTTAAGTTATTTTAGATGTTATTCACTTGTAACCATAACTTAAAGGTAGCATTTTAATGGCCCAAAAGCTTTAATAATTTATTCTTTAATCAAATGAATTTTCGAAATTAAAATTCCTTTTTATGGTTGCTAAATTATACAATAAATTTTAAAAAGTATATAAATTTAGATCATCTTTAGAATGCATAGATCTATCAAACCGACATCTGCAAACTATTTATCGTCTTAGATTTTAGGAATTAATTGAGCTTTGGAGAGAATTATGATTTACCAACTTTTCAATTAGGAAGTAGACTATAAATCATTTAAATGAGAAACAATATTAAGTTACCAGTTTGAATTATTTTTAATATCTTATTGAGTATTTTAGTGTTCATATAAATTATCAAACCTATTAAAAGATTTCTCAAACTTCAAAGCCTGCCTATGGCATATTATATCAGGACTTCTGATCTAAATAAAGTGGATAGACAATCAAACTCATATTTATTGTTTAATTTTCAAATAATGCAGCAATTCAAGTTTATGTTTTTATAATTTATTGATATTTAAATATTTTAATGATATACTTACATAAATGGAAATAAATTTAATTTAAATTAATCAGTTTACTTCATTGCAATAAATACAATAATCCACAAAATTATTCAAATAATCAAAATTATAAATATAACCATCATAACATTATTCATAACCTTGAATTAAAGATTCTATATTAACAATTTAAAAATGTATCTTAACCTATAAAGTTTACAATAAAAACAACCAATATTTTAATCGCATTCTTCATCTGATAATATAATACCATCTCCACATAAAGATTGGTAAAAATTTATTATTGTAGTAAAATAATATCCATCTTTAAAATCTAGGCAGGCAGATTCCTTGAAATCATTAAATCTTGATAAAGTCAAAGTAGATTTATTGAAATATAATTAATTTACACTATAGAGTCAATTTGAAATATTCATTAACATCTTCAAATTAATATCTTTTGTAAATTTAAAAATTATTTTTTAATTTTATTTTAAATTGACAAAATTCATTAGAGTCATTATAATTCTACTCTTCTAAATTATTATACGAATAATCACATAGATCTTGATATTTTGGATTGCATATACATGAATAGGATAACATTTTCTTTAGATTAAAAGATAACCTTCTTTACAATCATAACATTATCCCTGAATACAATTTAAATAAAAATCTTGATAAGTGAATTAATAAAAATGACATCCATCTTCCTAAATAAAATTGCCATCATCACATTCTTCATTTAAGGTAACTATAACATAAATTATCAATTTTTGAATATCCAGAATTAATTTTGACATCCTTTTTATGATAAAATAAGGCCATTTTAGCAATGTTCATTATGGTAATTTAATAGAATTAATAGAATCTCCACATTTAGGTTGAACATATTATTTTATTAGATCTTATATCCAATACATGTATTATTGATACAATATTAACAAATATCAGATTTTAAACATCTATATTAACCATAGATAGGA